GACGTAGCAGCCATGCGAGCCGACATCACTGCCCACCAAGCTGAGTTCACCTCTTTCAGGGCGGATGTCATGGCTTGCTTTGCCGATCTCTCCAGCCGACTCCCTGCACCTGCACCCGCACCTGCATCTCCAGCCACTGCAGATCTTCACGATCAGGCCTCCTGAGACTCCACTTCCAGTTGTTCTATGTTTTCATTTCTTTTATTCTGGATCTGCATTATACTGTCACTGTTACTGTATTATACTTTGCGGCCGGTCTGTCGGCTTTATTGTTTTATTGATGTACCTGCACTTTATATTCTCTATATATTGCTTTTTGATTATGGATGTCTCTTAGTATCTCATATTTGTATGTTTGACTCCATCAGGTACACCACAGTGACTTCAGTGAGAGAGTGCTATCCAATTTTTTAGGACCACTCTTACACCTCTCTCTCTATGATCTATTTATCCCATTTTACACTTGCATGTCCACTGTGCACTGATTATCCTATCTAGTTATCTAATGAGTTTATCCGAGTGCAAACTTTTCAGGACCACAGTTTATCCCAAGTTTGGGGGGGTCATGCCACCCACTTTGGATATTTCTATCCCGATCATTCATGACCAAAGCATTGGTATACTCTTTCCTTTGTTCTCTTCACACATTGAGGACAATGTGCAGTTTAAGTTTGGGGGTATTGGTGTATGTTTCAGTGTTACTTTAAAATTCAAATTTTGAGCATGTCTTGTGTATTTGAGGGATATTTCTATACTTAGTCCATTTCTAGCTATGATTTTGATCTTTTGAGAACTATATTGCTTAAAATTTAAAAATTGCTTGACTTGAGAGTCCAATACTCCTTGTATGCCTTGAGGATGCCATTTAGGAGTAAATTTTTTAAAAGATTGATATCTTGCTTGCATTTGTGGTCCACATCATCCTGAATTTGTGATTGTTTTGAGATTCATTCTAGGATTCTACACTAGCACCGGTGCACACTAGCATTCATTTGTAGGGTACATGCTTTGTTGATTATTGAATTGGTTATATCCCAATTGGGCTAGTAGTGCATTGAAAGCTTTCATTTTTGATAAAGGTGGATAACAACCCCTTTTCATTAAGTAGCCGGGATTCTTGCCTCATTAAGCAGTGAACTTCTCGCGCCGAAAGGTGGAGGGCCCAAACTCTAGGTTAATAATTGATTTCAAAAAAAAAAAAAAAAAGTAAAAAAGTTACAAAAGTAATAAAAGTGAGGACTTCTCCCAAAAGGCCAGAAGTGGGAAATGATTAGATGGTTGTTGTCTTGATTTGTAGCCTAGTTGATTTGAGTTTGTAAGTCCGTAGGGGTGTCTTAACACCTAATGCCCTAAAGCCATCTGGTTTGGGAGTCATTGACCTAAAGCTCGCTACATGAATCTTCTAGAAAGCTTAAGAGATCAACACATTGCACAATATTTCCATCTTTGATCCTCAATAAAAAAAAATAAATAAAAAAGAAGAAGAAAAAGAGTGAAAAGAATAAGCGCACCTAGAACAATAAAGCTTTAATAAAAGGTCCACTCTCTTATCTTGATGATCGGTACTAGATTTGTGTGCTAGTTTGAGGGTAAGGATGTGATTACTTCTCTAGTGGGCTAAGATAGCAACACACTTGATGCCGGACCTCTCACATGGATTCTAGACTTGTTTCGATTTTCATGATCATTTTCTTGATGTGTGGAGGACCATGCTTGCTTGTTTGATGTTGAGATTTTGGGAGATTGTTTGGAAACGGTTGAAAAATTGCATACTTGAGGTAGTTTTCTCCCAATGCTTGTTTGCAATATTGGTGCCTCTTTTGAAAGAATGAGCTTAATGTTTGTGGGTACCATTTCTGGAAACCCTCACGAGACATCACTCGTCCACTAGGGGTAACCTAGGGGTTTAAAAGGCTTGTTGCATATGCTAAATGCAATCGTGTTCCCTACGAAAATGGTGTTATCATTTTACTTGCTTTCCAGTTTATACTTGTTCAGTTGTTCATTTCATTCCTTTACTTCTTAGTTCATTACTAGGGACTAGCAATATTTAAGTTTGGGGGTGTGATGAGCATTGAAAAGTGCGCATTTAAATCCGTTAAGCTTAAGCATTCTAGTACATTTATCTATCTTACTTTGCCGTTTTAGACTTATTACGTGTTATTTATATTTTCAGGCACTAATCCCAAAATTGAGCTAACTCAGCCAAATAAGAGCTTAATTGAAGCAATCCTGAGATAAACCAAAGGAGGGAGCAAAGTGGAGAAAGAAAGGAGCAAAAAGGAATCAAAGTTGTGCAGCTGAAAAGTTCGATCAATCCAACTTAGAGTTCGATCGATCGAACATCTATGATCGATCACAGTACTTCTCGATAGATCCAACCTTGGCCTTTGCTGAAATTCCAAGTTCGATCGATCCAACATCACCTTCGATCGATCGAACCCTATTTTGTCCTATTCAAATGATTGATCTTATCCACAACTGTACGCCTACCAACCACTTTTGTCCTTTTCCCCATAAATATCTTCGAAATATCTCAGCCTTGTCCTTATCCGGAGGAGTCAGACCACTTCGATCGATCCAAGATGCAGTTCGATCGACCGAACCCATCTTCGATCGATCCAAGTTAAGGTTCGATCGATCGAACTTCCTCCAGCGAGAAAAAGTTAAAAGTCCAGCTCATTTATTCCGTCCTTCACCCAATCATTGGAGAATATGCCTTGCACGACCACAGCTCATCATAGGGTGTATTTGACCTACCTATATAAGGAATATGATACACTTTTTGGAAAAGGCTCTAGAGTCTCTTGTCACACATTGAAAATCATCTTGGAGGCTATTCTTGGAGAGGAAGAAGGGAGGAAGCTAGAGCAACCATTGGAGGAGATCTTCACCAACAAGGAGCAGCCATGGAGTTAGCCCTTGAGGGTTGGATCATCACTACCATGAGTGGCTAGACATCTTCTTGGGGCTAGAGTTAGCCCCAAGCATGCTTTCTATACTCTAATCTTGTGTATTATTGAGGGATTAGTGTTGTATGATACATCTTGATATTCATGTATATATAAATCTTGATTATTTCATGGTTTGTATGGTTTAATGCTTCCAATTGACTATTCTATTCTACCCATATGTCTATGTATGCTAGAGTAGGATATTCATGTGCTTATCTCTAGATTTAGTGTTTTTGATGCATGTCTATGTGTATTGATGCTATAGATCTAGAGATTATCAAGATGATATGCTTAATGAATGCTATTTTGGTTCATTTGATGGTTTATGCCTATTCTTGATAGTTTGTGCCTCTCCCTTAGTCTAGATAGCTTTATTTTCATGCTAGTAGTGTAGATTTAGTATAGTGGTAGTATAATGTTAGATGGGAGGACAATCTACTCTTGATGTTTGATATTCCATGCTTGTGAGTCCAAATGGCATATTCCTCTAATATTGTGTTGCATGTGGATTGTGAGCTTAATGAAGGATTAATAACTTGTTTTGATCTATTGTGTTATCCCCATGTTGTCTAGACAATATATGCTCTATTGTTTAGATATATTGTGCTCTTCACATGATGTTTAGACAATACTTGCTTGATTTGTCATCCTTGCCAATTGAATCAACCTAATGCACACACACCCTTATCATATTGCAATACATCCATTACCCTCAATTGATCACTTGTTAGTAGTATAGAAAAATATTGCTTGGTGGTGATCTCTACACCCCAAGACCTCTCTCTCTTGTTTACCTCATATTATTTTATTTAGTTGAATTCAATTTAGCTTAATCAACCAACCAACCAATTGTGTGATCACTCGACCTACTAACCCTAATTACCATAGTTTCACAATTCGATACACCATCAAATCCCTTGGGACGATCCCTACTCACCCTATCTATATTTTATATAGAGAGAGGTAGTAGTGGCTTTCTATAAATGTAAAACTTGGCCACTTCCTAAATTCTCACACAACTCTTCAAGCTTGACTTGGTATCGCGACCCTTGTAAAAGAGGACCGGTCAGTCGCGAAAAGATTATCGCGACAAAAATAATTTTGTCACCAGGTCGTCGCTAAAAGCTGGTCACAATATGTTTTTTGTGACAAATTTTGATTTGTCGCTAAAGGTAAGATATAAGGCGATAAATTATTCTTCGTCACAAAATGAGTAAAAATTGCAACAAAACATTTGTCACAAAATATTCAAAATTTGTCGTCTTATACCTTCAAAACTTATGAAATTTGTCGCCATTCATCACTATTTTGTGACAAATAGAATTTTGTCACTATCTTTTGTGACAAAAATTGTTTGTGACAAAATCTTTTGTCGCAATATATGTCCTATGTTGCGATAAAAATATTGTCACTATAAGCTGCTTTATTGTGACAAAAAAAATTGTCGCAATATATGTATTATAATGCGACAAAATTATTGTCGTTATAATCTATTTTTATTGTGACAAAATATATTTTGTCGCAATATTTTTGCGACAATTATTGTCGCTATAAGTTACTTTTGTTGTGACAAAATCATTTGTCACAATATAAATATCATGTTGCAACAAATACTTTGTCACAATATAAGTTATTTTATTGTGACAAAATATTTTTTGTCACAATATACTTACCATGTTGCGACAAAATTATTGTCGCTATAAGTTATTTTTATTGTGACAAAATCATTTGTCGCAATATAAAAATCATGTTGCGACAAATACTTTGTTACAATATAAGTTGTTTTATTGTGACAATATCTTTTGTCACAATATATTTACTATGTTACAACAAAATTATTGTCGCTATAAACTATTTTTTATTGTGACAAAATACCATATGCTATTACTAATACAATAATATAATTTTGTTTTCACATATTTAAAATTTGAAAATAATAACTTAAATTAAAATAATAATAAACTAAACAATCTAAACTAAAAGGCAAGCATCTCACTCAAAATGAATATATTTGACAATCAAACATAGAAGATAAAACACATTCCATTTAAAATTTAGATATTAAAATATTCCAATCATCCAAAATCTAAAATAATAATTCCAACATATATCAAAATGCTAATATCCGAATCCAATATTACACAACGCTAATTGCATACACATATCAAAATGCCAAAGGAATTCAAAATCCATAAAGAGAGCCAGATTGTAATCAATGTGAAACCTGCAAAAAAATAGATAAATAAGAATAAGAATACACTACGAGAAAAAAGGTTTTTAACGACCTGTAATTAACAACATGCTTAAAAAGTAAGTCTTCATAAGTACTAAATATCAAAACACACTTATATTCACGGCTTATACTGGTTTACTCATTCAAGTTTCTTTTAAAGACCTGCATTTTTCTTATAACTTATTATTTATATCGTAAAATGTGGGCCAAAAATTATTTAAAACTCTAATTCCCTCACGCTATGACTATAGGGAAAAAGAACTTTTTCACGCTAAGCTCTCCAATACACGATCTAGCCTACACTTAATTAGATCATTTCCTCTCTTCCATTCTAAACCTTATCTTTTCAGCGACTCATCCCTAATCTAACGACACATCCCTAATCTATACAATCATTGAACGCTACCAGGCAGAGTAGAGGTTTTTGACGAAGCTGTAACAGCCTAGCAATTTCGAGTCTTTGAGTTTTATTTGCTTTCTACTTCTTTTTCAATTTTGATATTGTGAATTAGATTATGAGATAATTGCATCTGATGGTGAGATTTATGAGTTATTAAGGTTTACCATCAATTTCACTTATTGTCCAGTGAGTTTAAGACTGCTGAATCATTCAAAGAGAAATAATGTGCAACCAAACCGGTTCGGGCCGTACGATTCCTATTTAGAAGAAAATAGGTGATAGGCAATTGTCTGGTCAACACGGGAAGTAAGAAAAGCCTAGTAGCCATTACCGTCTTACGTTGCCCGGATACATGAAGGAAGGACCTAACCAGGGAACGATAGAATGAGAGAATCAGATTAGAAACATGACCTTAGACATCGCCTGAAGACCCGGTACTTGTTCATAGGAAACCTTACTCAAAGGGGTTCCAACTCGCACAAGTAGTACTTTTTTAGTGTACTTGAACTGGCCGAGGAAGACACTTCTTAGGTGAACCAGATCCTTTTTATTGATTCTATTATGATATTTGATTTGCTCACCCATCATTTATTTTTTCAATTTTATTATTCTACATAATCGTATATATTAATACTCATCAATTTACCATCTGATCTTCTATTTGGGTGTTCATTGTTTTTGTGTTCTGAATGAATTATTACTTTTTAGGAGTCATATTGTTGTTTATTCTTTGATTCGTTATGTATGCTGAAATTCTTTCAAAATTTTATTATGCAAGTTCTGTATTCTTTTGTTGATAGATTAATATAATATTTCGAACCATGTAATTCCAAGTTGGATCTTTATATATTTTTTGCTTTCACAGTCTATGTTTTGATGTCATAAGAAAGATTTTTTTTATAGTTCTTAACTTATTTTTCTTCCTATAATTTATATTCAGTGGTCATATCTCTTTAACATGAATGCCAGCACACAAAGAAATCTATCATTCACAATGCACGGCGTTGAACATGCTTTCACATTTTTTTGCTTACGTGGAAATTTCTCACATTGCAACATGAATTAGATCCTTAACCAGTAATATATAGAAATAAAGAAGCTCTTCATTGCACAATCAGATCCTCACCTATATTAGCAACTTGCAGCTGTAGGGGCAATGTCTCTAACTCCATTATGAAGAGCAGAGTTTCTTTCAACCCAAATTTTCCAGACTATATTTGCATTTTTCATACACTTCGTAGATTTGTGTTAGCACATTTTGTTAGTTCATAGTTCGGTTGTATTTGGGCTGAAAATACAAAGTAATTTGCCCATAGATTTGTTGACAGTAGGGCAATTCAGTGAGAAATGAAGGGCATTTTTAAAAAGTCTTTTCCTAAATCATACTTAAGATAAAAGTAAAAATAAAATAGAAAGCATAATGATGAACAATATAAATCATTTTTCTAATTGTTTTATAATTTGTGAAATATAACAAGACAGAAATATATAAGAAAGATGGGTGGGAGATTCTGATTGATAATTTCTGATTCATTCTGGTTGTTGCCTTCTGCTTGATTCTGGTTGTTGCATATTTGGACTCTAATGTGTTAGGCTTTTCACTATAGTGTTGTTAGCTATGTGTTTGCAGTATGCTTAGCCTTAACTAGTTAGCTGTGGTTCCATTTGCTGCCATGGAGAACGTTCCTTGGACTGGTATAATTTGTTGGACTATTTGTACATATTATTTTCCATTTAACCAAAAAAAAAAAAGATGGGTGGGAGAAATATTAACTTTGTTACACTTGTAAATGACATAATGGAGTAGGATATTCATTAATATATAGGAATCTAAAAGATGATGTTATAACTCTTATTTAAAAAAAGAGAATAGGTTACTTGTTTTTGGTAAGTGAGATTGATAAAACAATGAACAAATGTACGGAGATAAGAGTGTCTCTATCTACAACCAAATGGAAAAGAAGCCAAAAAAGAAATCACTAAAACAAGGCCAAAAATAAAAGATGGAGAAAATCTATACAATATATATGTGGTGGTTACAGAAAGCCATAACTTTTCACATTATTTTTTATGAAGGGGGCGCTCTCAGCCTTGAACCAGCTTACTAGTACTCTTAGCCTGATCTTTTACCATTGCACCAAGCACGGAGTCCTTATATTTTTAGTTAGCTGTCAATGAACTTGTAAGGTGTTCAAGAGGATATCTGGCTGTGTATGTTGTTTGCTGATAGCATGGTTTTAATCAATAAAATTGTAGTACGGGTAATATAGTAAATATAGAGAGATGTTCTAGAATCTAAAAGTTTGAGGTTGAGCAAGACCTTAGAGTATATATATTGTAATTTTAGTAAAGTTAAAATCCTAAAGTGAGGAGATGCATTATTTCAGATTTTCAAAGTTTTAAGGAGGCAAATAATAGGAGTGTGAAATTTTGGTACCTGGGAAAAGATTTGACCGAGGCTTCTCTGTAGAGAAGTAAAAATATCTATGTACCTTTTGGTAGTTTGTTTCCTCCCTAATTAACAGAATGCGGTTGGCTGCTTGCTTTTGATTGATGGAACATGAAGTGTTTAGTTCTAGAGTATGACAAGAATTTTATAGTTTCTTTCCTAATCATTCCACACACACACACACACACACACATCTCAAAATTTGTTGACTTATCCAACATCCTTTATTACGTTTACATTGCTTCCAACACTATTTATTGAGTCAAATTATTTAACATAGCGGTTCAATCTGAGCTGAGATACAGGTCAAGTGTTGCTATGTCTGGCACAGCAAAAGAGCCAGGATAGGAGTGTCTTGTTACTGTTGGACGGAAATGTTTACGTAAGATCTGGATGATCTGGCCCATGGAAGTTTTGTCGCATTTATTTTACCTGCATGGGATCTAGTCCTTGTGACGATCTTCTTTTTCAACTGGATTACTTTTTCTAATTTTTGGTTCAAAGGATTCAATGATTTTGAGGCTCCATTTAAATGCTATATATGTGTGTGCAGTGTGCACGTGTGTGTTATTTTAAAGGTTTTAGTATGATAATTTTTTAGTCTAAATCCTTTTCCTACTGACTTCACAGTGCTATGTTGATTTCTTATGAACACATGATGCATTGTAATCTAGAGAGACCATTGTATTCAATTTTACATCAGTCCCTCTCTATACATTTTTATATTTGCATACAAATATACAAATGTCTGTATATTAGTTTTTTGATTTAATAATTCTCCCCTATAAGAGATTGAATAAATTTAAACCATGCTTATTAGCTGATGTTTGTAATTAGAAGGTGATTCTTTTAGTGGATTAGCAAAATTTGTTGTCAGACTTGTTTGGGCTGAAGAACACAGAATTAATACACTAAAAGCACTAAAAATGAGTGATCTTATATTAGTTGAACTAACATGCTTTTATTCATGTAATAATGTCTCATTGGGCTGCAATTTATTTTATTCTTTTTAATTTTTTTCCATCTCGCTTTTTCTAGTATGGAATTCAACTGGAATCAGAAAAAGATTATGTTCAAATATTGAACTAATATAATCCTTAATTCAAATTTTAAATTGCGGATTTCATACTTATTATGGTTCATTTACGTTAACGTCGAGTTGAATTCAAGGACCTAACAAATACAGAGTACAGTGTATATAAATGCTAAGCTATAAATTTCATATCAGTGCTCTGTACAAAAACCAGAATATGATTGAAAACCCCAACTTGTGTTGCTAAGGTACCCAACAAAAATAATAATGAATAAAAGATCAAACATATATATTTGGCCTCATCTCATCAACTTCATTCTATTTCAATCCCTAGCCTTCCCATCCACTTTGATCAGTTCCAGCCAGTCAATTTTGGAATTTTTCGAAATTGAATTTTGTGTTTTCTTTTTCAGATTTTATTTTTTTAATTATTTTTTCTTTAGTTTGATATGACTTGATAACATTATTCAGGTTCAATGTTAATTAGCTGAGACACAAGAAAGAGGGTATTAATTAGTAATTAAGCTAGGTCCCCTATATAAGAGAAATATTTAAGCTTTCAACTTTCCATTTCATAACTTCATATGTTGAATAATTTGATTGCCACTGATGTTATGGAATTTTCTACCAGACCGAACAAAGGTTTATTAGCAAGCGGAGCATAACATAATTTCATACTAATTAACTTTCAATTTGAGTCAATTAAGCACTTACAATAACTAGAATTACACTGGATAATGGACTGTTAATTACTGGTGAGACCTATGAACTGAATAATAAAACAATATTGAATTCACAAAATTTAGTTAAAGTGAATTTTGAAGTGCATCCTGTTTGCAATAGTGTGTATATATTAAAGAGATAACTTAAAAGCATAAAGAAATTTATAAATATGTTAAAAGATTTATCTCTAAAAATTAAGAGAAAAATAGAAGATGAAAACTAGTTACTGAAAACTAATATACAAAAAGAAACAAGTTTTCGTGGTCTTAAACTAAGAAATAGATTCATTTAAGAGTTCAAATTGTAGTACAATAAAAGTGATATACTGCATTTGTTTCGAAATTTTTTTATGGCACATCAAGATCTTGAAGAGAGAAAGCATTAGTAACTCACCATGGCGCCAAAATCAAATGTGAATCCCAAGATTATTCCAGCAGGCAATCCAATGATATAATAACACCCAATGTTGATGTATGCAACAAGAGACTGCCATCCAGCTCCAACAGCAACCCCTTAAGAAACAAAAACCATAAAAGGGCGGGGAAAAAAAAACACACACACACACACACAAAGTTATATCTTGAACTGATGACTGCCATTTTCTAGGCACACACTGCACCTCCATGTTAAATCATTTTCTAGGGAAAGTTATGAATAGATTCATATTCGGATTTGATTTGTGCTTACCAGATAAGACCGGTTGAAGGCTGTTTAAAAGAACCGTAATTGCCAGCAACAATGCAAGTTTCGTAGTTTCAGTAGCAAGTTCACGCTGGTGGTGAAAAGGTATGGGAAGTAATCTCTTGTTGCCAACACAATGGCCATACAAACAACTCCTATGGACACGGACGTGATGGGAACCACCAGCACTAAAAATTTTGCTGCACGAGCGTGACCAGCTCCAAGTTCATTCGACACCCTCACACTGTAAAGAACATTCATGGTGAGTTCATATATATACATACATTATTCATTTGATTGCCCAGAAGACGAGAGAAATGAAGGAATTGAGCTCTTTTCTCCTTGTCTTTGAAATGAGTTCATATATATACATACATTATCCATTGGATTGATATGAGTTGATCTTTTAGCATATTTAACTACTATTAACATAACCTGTGCAGAACACGATGAACTGATATGATTGTCACTGAACAAATATAAATAAATAAATAATAATTGAGAAAACAGAACATGGCAAGAAAACAGAAGATGAGAAAGAAAAGAGAAGAAAATGCAATCCTTGCAGATTATATAACATCCATAACAGAATAAAACCAATATATATATATATATATATATTTGTTAAATAAACTAATAACAAAGAATAAGTATAAAACTGACTCATGAGCCTCTTCCTCTTTCTTATTTTAGTCTCATTCAAATTCAATTTATAGTCACGTAAATGCATGTCCAGATGGTGCAGACCAAACTATTACATCAATTGAAACTACTCACAGTTTGATTATGGAGCATTGGATTGATTAAAAAAATAAAAAAATCCTTAGAACATTAAGAGTGAAATATTGAGTTGATTTCAGCAACATAAAAATCATTTTTCTTGTAGTGATTTACAAGTGTAATAATGCCATGTGCTGATTTTGTATTCTCCCCTACGATTGTTTCTAGTACTCTTCTATCTCTATCTAGTTATTTTGCATCTTAGAGATGAATAAATGAATATACATATGTGTATAACTGAAAATGGTGGGTTGGGTTGTATTGATTTTCATTAATGTTGGGTTGGTTTAATTGATTTTCATTGTTGCGTTTTAAAAAATGTGTATATATTTGAATTGGTTTAACATTTTAAGCAGTTTGTGGCAGAAGTACTATTTGGTTTGCTAATCCGGCAGTAAACCTTGAATGTATTGTTCATGAATTAGCATACAAAGGATTGGCTCATTAAATTCTTCTTTCTATGTTCTAAAAATCTAAATCTCTAACTGTCATTAGGCCATTTTTGGCATATAATCTTTATTGTATGTTGAATATCTAGAAACATTAAGATTGAAATTTGTTGAATTTAATTATTAAATAAAAGACACTTAACTTATTTGCAGGTTTTTGGGTAAGATTGGAGTAATTTTACCTTCTAAAGGGGAATTGTTCTTTCTTTGAAGACATAAATCTTCATAGTTAAGGTGAATGCTTGATCTAAATTTCTATCACTGTTCATATGAAATCAATTTCTTGTGTACCTTTGTTTCAATTCTATTTTGGAATTTTCTATGTTTAGCATCTCTCCCAATGGAAGTAATATATATTACTCAACTCTTTACACAATATATATTGTATGTGATATCCAAAAATTAGCAGGTTAAGAGCTAAGGACTTTTCTATAAGAATTAAAGGAGGCTACAAGGGTTAATGGAAGCATCACTATAATTTTCATGTTGAAGTAAGTTTTAAATTCATTCAAATATTATTTTTTTGCATCGTGTTAGTAAATTTTTAATAAAACCATGTGCTGATTTCATTAAATGTAATAAACTTGAATTTTTTTTATTTTTTTATTACAAATGTGATTGAAGGATCAATTGTTGCCGTCAAGATTTTGTGGGAACGAGGGAGCTAATATTCTCATTTACACACATTATCAAAAGGATTTACATATATTGTTTCATTTAGTAAAATGAATAATTTTATTTAAACATTGAAGGGGGTTTATTCTGAAGTTTGTCCTGTTGTAAAGTCCGAGTAAGTTTAATTTGTAAAACCAAACATGTTTTCAGGTTAAAAAAATAAAATAAAACACAACAAAACAAATCCCCTAAATCAATTCACATAACAAATACCATATAGAACCTAACCCTAGACACCAAATTAAACCCTCAAAATCTCATAATTGTAAATCAAATCCCAATATAAAGTGAGAGCACTTACCAGTGATGGAGAGATAATGAGAAAGAGAGCAACAAATTGAAGTGGAAAGCGATCTGATGTTGTATTATTTGCAATTAAGGGAAGACAGAGCGTCGTGTTGCCGAGAATAGAGGAGATGATAGAACGATCCAGACACCTCCGGTGAAATATGTGCCAGCAACTGATCAGCCGTCTCATCTCATCACTATTGTCGAACTCGTATAGGCACGCCGCGCAACTCTTGGGCGGGTCCACCAGGTCGGAGAATTTCATGACGGGCAAGAGTTCCCAGATCAGAACGGCCGAGACGAAGTGGAGTCGAGACGAAGTGGAATTTGAAAACGTAATCGGGTGGGTCTGTCCAGGAAATGTCGGGTTCGAGGAAATCGCCGAGACCCAGAGATCGAAGGAGGGTGAGAATGTGTTTTCCGATGAACCCAGGATCGTAAGTGTGTGGAAAAGGAGTTTTGGGAGGAGGAGATCGAGTAAGCAACTGGGAATCCCATGTTTTTAAGAGAGAGAAAGTAGGTATATGGATATATATAGAAAGAGAGGTGTACATGTATTTGGCTTTGCAGTCTTGCGTTATCGGAAACATCTGGACTGTGAAGGGAGAGAGATGAGATGCGCCGCAGGAGAGAGAAGGGTTAAAGTGATGAGAGAGTGCGAACTGCAAAGTCAGTGTGGAGAAAGATAAAGAGAAGAGAGGGAGTAAAACTGTCCACGTGCCAAAAGGACTTGCCAAAAGTTTCAGGCGCCACACTTCGGCGGTTCAATGAATTTCAAAATAAAAAGAAATTTTAATTTATAAACTATTTGAATATTATAATTTTTTTATAAGCTATTTAAATAGTTACACTATTTTATGAGTATGAGTAGTATGATATGTATTATAAATATCACACAAATCAAACTATTATATATATATATATTTAACTAAATTAATTTAAATAATAAATAATTATAAACTCTAATTATATGTAATATTGTTTTTAATATATGGTTTTTATTAATTTCTTAAGAAATAGATTGCATGTATAATGGGTAATTTGATCAAATATAAATTTTTTGGAAAGACAAACATGTAAAAGAAATAATAAAAAAAAAATTCAACTTTAAAATTATATATAGTATCAAATAGTGTGATAGACAAACTAATTGATAAATAAATTCATCCTAGTGTTCTTTATTAATATTTTTATATTTAGTTTTGTTGACTTATATAATAAATATGAGACTAATAGACTCGTAGTATTCTCTCTCCAATGACAATATATTTCAAATAAATAAAAGTGGAATTACTTTGTTACATTTTATTTACAAATTTGGGTAATGGAGTAGCCTTAATTAAGTCTTCTCTCGGCGACGCCAAATTAAGTTTTTTCTTTTTTTTTTTTTTCTTTTTTTTTTCTTTTTTTTTTTTTTTTTTTATCTTAGTTGGTACTTATACACACATACCTCCCACCAAGGTTCAAACCTCTAATTTTTCTTTGAGAAGTATAGACCTAGTACCACTAAGTCACTGCCCTGTTGGTTAAGTTTTATTCACTATCTTTTTAAAAACTTATATAATTGTGTACATTTACCTCGTTCGATGACTCAAATGAATATGGATCGGATTAGTATATTCCTTTAATTGACATATGAAGAGTGCTAATTATAGTCGCGCTTGTGACTGCCTTTCCATAGTCATGCTTTTTATTAGTCACAATTCTTATAATTACAAGTTCATTTATAAGATATCTCTTACTTTCAAGAAAATTAAAAATATAAATTTTTAAGATAAAATTACCATTTAACCTTTTTCTTATATATCTTTCTCTTTTTATTCTCTTCTCCTCAGTTTTATCCCTTATATCATTAAAAAAAAAAAAAAAAAGAATATATTATTTTCTTTCTTTTTGGATTGCCAAAACAAATTATATTATGGGAATGGATTATTTTATTTCATTTTTAAAATTTTATTTTAACTATATATATGTATATGTGTGCGCACTATATATGGATTCACGTTCAATTCCTATAACCGCAATTCATATTATTTTCTTTGCTTTTGAATTTGCCAAAACGAGTAACATAATGAGAATTAATTATTTTATTTCCTTTTTTAAAATTATATTTTAACTATATATATACGTGTTATATATTGAAAGCAAGTGATATATATATATAGGAGTTCTGATCTCTTGCTCCCCATGGAGTAAGAAAAATAATCCACACTTTCTATATAGACCGTTAGATAAAATCTAACGGTCATTTTACAAACCCACCCATGGCATTTCCTTTTAACAAAAAACCACTCTCACCCTATTTTTAGTTTCTATAATTAATTTTACCATTACTACCCACTGTAACAATAAAAGGTAATTATCAAAATAAAAATAGAAACTTTTGAAAAAAAATTAATTCCCGTATATTTTACTAATAAATTTGTTTTTATTTAAATTTTTCTTCCGTGTATTGCTAAGAGGCTTGATAGTGTCTGGGGTGCTAGTTTTTCTTCAGTTTTTATTTTAAACCAACTTTGAATGAGAAATCAAAGAGTAAGATCACTTAGGAGAGTAATGGGGTTGGTGGGTATGATAAATTAGACTTGAACTTTGATGTTTTCATGGTTCAGCATGATATGGGGAATATGTATATGTGGGTTTTCAAGGAGAGGTCTAAAAATGCATTGGGAAATATGCAGCTGAGATGTTAAGCGGTGTGCATGATTCTAGGATTTAGAGGTGTTTCGTGTTGTTTCAGAACCAAAACTCTCATGAAAAGAAGTATTATTGTTATAGTTATTTGTGCGTATATGTGTGAATAACAATGTTATACAACTGAATAATAGAATCATATGACATTGACTTTATTCAAAATTGTTAAAGCTTAAACTAAATAAAATTAAACTAAATAAAATGAAAACAAAAAATTTAATCTCTTCGTAAAGGGATGAAACTTAACAAAATTTAAAAATATTTAATCCTCAAAGTCTTAAAGTAAACTCTTCCACGACAAATAAAAGTAAAGCTATGGGAATTAATTTTTTTCAAA